GAGTACTGACAGGGAACAAAGAGTACAAATGTTAAGGAAAACTGCCAGACTTATGGAATGGCGAACTGTGGAATGGTGGTTGCATTAGTTGAAAAGTAAACTTAGTTTTGTGGAAGTTTAAAATTTGCATCTAGGCTACATGTGGTGGCACATGCTTGTAACCCCAGCATTCAGGAGACCGAGGCAGGAGAATCATGGTGAGTTTGAGGCCAGCCTGGGCTACACAGTGAGTTAAAGTGCAGCCTGGACTACAGAGCTAAATCCTGTCTCAGAAACCATCCCAACCCTTTTTTTAGCCTATAAAGTTGCTGACTGGTTGCAGTCTTCAGGAGAAATGTTCACCTGTCAATTCTAGAACTCAAATGAGATGTCTATGTTAGAGACAGTTCTGAGAGTTAATCAACATATAGATAGCAGATAAAGCTATGGGAATAAATGCTACTCATTGGCTGTTTATGTAGCAACATGGAAAGAGGGCCCTTCTAGTTATGACAGTACAGTAAGGAAGACCAGAAACCTGAAAACTGCTGACTGCAAACACATAAACCTGTTAGATACAATACAGCAAATCTTATTGGAGCAGAGGGCCCCATCCCAAGCTTTCCAGATGGATGGGTCCCACCCTGATCAGATGCGGTGTAGCCCGTGAAAGGCAAGTTGCTAAAACAACTCTGATGAGGAATCTCAGGCCAGACAGTGGGGTGGGGGTTGCTTGTTGCAGGTTAGGGTATCAGTGATTACCAAGGTCTAGAAAACACCAGTGAGGGAGACGAGAAGAACAGGAGGGCCAAGGGTGGTGCTCAGTGGTGGAGGGCTTGCCTAGTGTGCAGTATGCCGTAGGTTCAATCCCCAGCACTGCCAAAAACAATACAAGGAAAAATAAAACGGAGGAAGAGGAGGCCAGGAGATGCCTCTGAAGGAGGAAAGAAAGCAGAAGTAGAGGAAGCACAGGGTAGTGGGCTGATGGGGATGGGTGTTGTGCAGTGGGGTTTGGAAGATGAGGCTTTCCCAGGTGGGAAGCTGTCAGTGTCCCCAGACTCCTGGATGTGGCAGGGAATCCTGCTGCTCTAGAGGCAGGGCCCCGTTGGAGAGAGAGTCTTGGGCAGTGGTGTGAAGGGCTGCGTGGTGGTCATGGTGTCCGAGTTTCCCTCCCAGTCTATAACCTAGTCCAGAGTCCTTAGAGTTTCACTCCTCCTATTTTCTCCCCGGTAAAGGTGGGGTCAATTATATCCCTTGCCACGTGGGATTGGTAGGAAGATTGATCAAGGTTATTCATAATGGCTTCCTTTTGTTGTTGTTTTGAAACAGTTTCCCTATGTAGTTCAGACTGGTCTTCAAGTCACTATGTAGACCAGGCTGACCTGAAACTCATGGCAGTCTTCCTGCCTCAGCCTACTGGGTGCTGGGATTAAGAATGCTCTACCACGCCCTGCCCATCGAGTGATTTGAACAATTCTTTGTACAGAGAAAGTACCAGGTCGATGCCAGCTAGTATTTTCATTCCTCTTTGATGTTCCCACATAATTGTTGGAAGTGCCCATGATGACGTAAGAGACCAGAGGGAAAGTGTGAACCAGTTGCCACAATTACCAGTGACTTGGTTCATGACCTTGAAACATGTCACTGAGATCAACAAGCAGTGGGAGAAGCCATCATCGTCAGGTAGCATGGATTTCAGTTTCTATGGAGAAAGGAACAATAAGGCTCGCAGGAGAGCGATAGTAAGCAGCTAAGAGGTAAGGGTAAACTTAGAAGGAAGGGAGTGAGATGGAGCATGAGTGGAACTGAGAACTTTAGGTATGGTTTTGTTTTTCTCCCCATCACTGGACACTGAGTCCACAGGGAACTGAGCCACATGCCCCAGCCCTCTCTCCCCCTCTTTCTTTTGCTCTCTAATCTCTATGTCCATCTTGTGAGAGGGGCCTTGTGGAGTCACCCAGGCTATCTTTGAACTTACCATCTTCCTGCTTCACTGTCCCCAGGAGCCAGGATTACAGGCTGCACCATCGCTCCTGACTGCAGCCCTAGGCTGACACAGAATTGCTTGAGGATGAGCATAGAACAGAATGAGAGTGACAGGAAGGACGTGTATTTTAGGTGCTGTCTGAGAAGCTGTGGTAACACGGGTGGAGCAAGGTGCGGTGAGGAGCTGGCCGAGATATTACGTGACCCTCAGTGTCCACCTACCTGCTAGTGAGCTCGAAAACGCTCAGTTTATTGAAAGTGCAATTTCAGGAGCTGTGCTTGTTGCAAGGGATATAAAAAGGCTAGAGGTAGCGATGAGTAAATAACTATATACCAGCATAGGAGGAGAGAGGGTGCTTTTTACTAACTGGGGTAGGGAAGGCTTTAGAAATGGAGGAGCATTTTCAATTGGGTTTTGCCAGACAAATGTTTGTCAGAGCTAACAGCACATGAAAAGAGCAGGTGTAAGAAGATAGACTAAAGAATCGCAGTGATAACAGTAAAGGTCAAAACATTTTAAAATAACACAATCATCCGTGACTTTAAACAGTAATGATAAATCAATTCATTTGGTGAAAACTGATGAGCTAGTCGGTATGGCGTGTGTCTTTAAGTAATCTCAACCTTCTGAAGGCCAAGGCAAGAAGATCACTGTGAGTTCAAGGCCAGCCTGGGCTACAAAGTGAGTTCAAGCCCAGCCTAAACTATGTACTGAAACCTTGTCTTGAAAAACAAAAGGAAAAAATATCATACCAACAATTTGTCCATCTATGGATACTACCTAACAAATACTTGTGTTACAGATCTTGGATATGTTTAAGATGAGTAATTAAAAATTCTAAACCACTAATGCATTGGCTTTTAAAAATTCCTTGCCTATTATTAGAATCAAACCTGCTTTCAGTGTATACTGTTGATGGGCAGTTAGATGAGTTTGGGGTAAGCAGATAATCAATCATAGAAATATAAAAGACATCAGTGATACTGCTTTGCAAGGCATACACTGATTTATGTTAGAGGATTGTTTATGCTACCTTTAAGGTGTGTGTGATGGAATAGGGCTTTTGTAGTCAAAATCCCAAAGACAAAGCCATTGTATTATTTATCTATTTGATTTAAACAATCATGCTGATTAAATTTGAGTGTTTGGAGTGTTTATTAATATACTATTTGCAGTTCCTCTAATTTATAAAAATGAATATATTTCAAATATGATTTTACATTTTGGCATTTAAGACTTGGATTTATCCAAACTTCTGAAAACTGTTTAAAGCTGGAAGATTGAAAGAATTGTTCCACTTGCAATTTACTGAACCTAACTTTCTTCTCTCTTTCTTTCTCTTTGCTTTCTTCCTTCCTTCCTCCCTTTCTTGTTTTCTCTCTCTCTCTTTTTTTTTTTTCAGTTCTAAGGATTGAACCCAGGGCATGTTAAGCTATATCCATAGCCTTTTTAATCTTTCTTTCTTTCTTTCTTTCTTTTTTTCTTTCTTTCTTCCTTCCTTCCTTCCTTCCTTCCTTCCTTCCTTCCTTCCTTCCTTCCTTCCTTCCTTCTTTCCTTCCTTTCTTTCCTTCTATTTTTGGAGGGACAGGGTCTCCCTATGCATTTCAGACTGGGCTTGAACCTCCTGCCTCAGCCTCCTGAGCCCTGGGTTTACAGGTGTGGACCACCATGTCTGGTGCTTTTTTTTTTTTTAACTTTTGAGACAAGGTGCTAAATTGCCCAGGCTAGTTTCAATCTTGTGATCCTCTTGTTTCAAACTCCTAAAAAGCTGGGATTACAAGTATGTACTACCATGCATGGTTTAATCTATTTTCAAAAGTGAAAAAAACATTTCTGAGTACACCTTAATTTATTTCTTCCATTTTAGCCACTTGATAGGCAAGATCGATGTGCAAATAAATACCTGGATTAAAAAAAAAATTAACCTATAGAGGAATACATAGTGGGTCATGGTCCTCCTTCCGTTCTAATTTCCTCTTTTACTTCTTTCTTATCCACCGTGGTGTCTATCTCACTTCACTCAGACCCTCCATGTGCGAGCGGGAGGAAGCTGTCATCTGAGCCATCTTCTTATTCTGACACTAAGTGTACTAGACTGCCCTCATGTGCACCTGCTCATTGATTCCCATCCAGTTGAAGACCTGCTGACCTGAGCTCTCTGATTGCCACCTGCTAGGAGTCTCTCTCAGCCCTGTCTCCGTGTTCCCAGGCTGCCTTTGAATTTGTGAGCCTCCTGCCTCAGCCTCCTGAGTGCTAGGGTTCCAGGCATGTACCACCACACCAAACTAATTTCTGTATTAGGCTCTTCCCACCATTTTCAAATCATGTTTAAGTATATCCACCTAGGGCCAGGGTTACAGCTCAATGGCAAAAGCACCTGCCTGGCAAGTTGATTCCCCGTACCAAAAAAAAAAAAAAAGTATATCCAAATATAAACAAGCAAACACCCATTAGATGCTTCATTTCCCTCTCAGTCCCTGCCTTATCTGTCATCTTTCTTGCACAGCCCAGCTTTGTGGGGCTGGAAGAACTGTCCATCCTGGCTGGCTATTTCCTTGTCTCTAGTAGGTGCTGACCCAAGGGGACACAGCCTTTGGCTTAGCACTGTGTGCAAACCTCTCTCCTTCCCGTTCAGCTCTCTAGCTTTTCTGTCATGAACCCTAGCGTATTATTCAGTCTCCATTGTATTTGTCCCTTCAGAAACTATGAGCCGTTGCACACTCTTGCTGCTAGGAAGACTTGCTACCTTTGGCCTCTGTGACTCAACCGCTCTGACCCCGCTGCCTACTCTTTTTGCCTGTCTGTTTTTGGGCTCCCTTTCTCCCCAGTAGTTCACACTCTCTTTCAGACCTCCTTGCTTCTTCTTCCACCCTCAATAATGCTACAGGCCTGTGAGTGGCTGCCAGGAAAGAGGGTGTCCCAGTGCTGCTGCCAGAATAGGAAGACGGTAAGGGAAAACAATGAGGCCAAAGCAAGCGAGGGGTCCTTTTTTTGTTTTATTTTCTTTTTGAGACAGGATCTTGCTTTGTAATTCAGGCTGGCCTCAAACTAGTGGTGACCCTCCTGTATCAGCCCTGCACTGTGGGGAACCACCTGGATGATGCTCCTTGAAAGAAGAGCAGTTATCTCCAATTTGGGTAAGTTTGGACCTATCTCCATGTATTGAAATGTACAGAGTTGGCTACATCGTTTCTTTGTCCCTTCAATTGCCTTTAAGCAATGTAAATTGGGCTGATTGAGGATTTGATGTATAATCTTTGAAGCGAGGCACAGGCCCCGCCCCCAATGACTCCTGGTTGAGCCCTGTGGGACAGAGAGCTGTGTTCCATGCTGTTGGCTGGAACTGAACCTCAAGATAAGAGACTTTGATTTCCCTGGGCTTAAAAGATCATACATCAGAGTTTAAGTGTGGCCTCCCAGTATTAGACACTACCTCAGCTGTGTTATGCGGAGGTGAACTCAGGCCTCTTACTTTAGCCCAGCTCACAGCAGTCAGGTATTTCCTGCCACGCTCACTGTCACTCATCCCTAAGTCATTCCCCTCACCGAGGATTAGTAAAACCAGCATTGGCCCTTGTGTGAACCACCATCTTGGCCGGATTTGGGACCCCCTTCACTCCCCTGTATATATATCTTAGTGTCTTTACTCTCGCCTTGAGTGCACTGGAAGTGGTAGATTGGAATTAATTCACTAGAATTCCAATAACTTTTCCATGGGACTATAAATATATTCTCAGAGCAACACGAGATCTCCTTAAGGGCTCTCTATACTACAGCACCACACCATACCTAGAACAGGGCCTACCCTTCGAGGCCTCAGACTCACCCTTTGAGGTATTCCCCAGCCACGCCACATTCTACAGCTTTGTGACAAGGCTCTGCCATTTATTCCCTTTGTGGTTTAGAACAAACACCTTGGTACTTTCTGTTTTTCTCCCAGTGCCACATAAAACTTACAATCTATCTCTTGGGAAAACCTCAAGTCTTCCTTCTGTACATAACCCCTACTGCGTTTTTTCTCTTCTTTATACTGTAGTTATTTTCATTTGTTTTACCCCTCACAGGATCTTAAATGTTGCCATGTTCAAGGTAAGTACTGTGTACTTTCCCTTTGGCTTGGTGATCCTCTCTATTTCTATGGTTTATAAAGAGGCATACTGGAAGTATTAAAGTTTTTTTTTAAATTAAAGAAAAGGTGAAATTTTACAGTATTATTATTATTATTATTATTTGCTGTTTGCAGTGCTGGGGGTGGACCCCAAGGCCTCACATATGCTAGGTAAGAGCTGTAGCCCCAGCCTCAAATTTTATTTTTTATTCTTAGCTATTCAAGTAACCAAGCCAATCAGAAATAGACACACATTTGAATTCCCCGAGACTACTCTGGTGCAACAGGAGTCCCCTCTGGTTTGTATTGTTACATGGAGAAGATAAGCTAACCCTAAATATTATGAGGTTTTTTCCCCCTCGTCTGGTTTTATCTTTAATAAATGACCTGCTCTTTGGCTGAGTTGGTCAGTCCTGAGCCTCATGTTCTAAACAGATGTAAATAGTTTTGGAAGAACCTGTCTCAATAAGCAGATTCTGGGAAAATAAAGTCAGCCCTGTGATAATTTGCAGAGAATACTGATGCCCTGCAGTCCGGCTGTACAGTCCCCTTGGGTTACTTTCTGAATATGCATACTACAAGCCGGAGGGCAGAGGGGTGGCTGTTCATGCCCTAGGGTGGCTGGGAGATCATCCTGCATATCTTTTTCTAAACATTTTGTAGGTCTGAGGTGAATGTGACCTCAGATTTTCCTTCCTTTTTTTTTTTTTTTTTTTTTTTGTTCCAGCCTACATCCTCAGTCTTTTTTCATTTTTTTATTATAATTTTGAAATAGGGTTTCAGTTGTCCAGGCTGGATTCAAACTTTTAATCCTCCTGCCTCAGCCTCCTGAGTACCGGGATTCCAGACATTTGGTACAATGGCCCACCTGGCTTACTTAACAATCTTAAAACTTGCCCCTTGTAAATAGTCATATCTTTTCCCAAGAACAGAGCAAGGCCTCTGTATGTTATGTTTACAGAACAAGTTAAGCAGAATCAATCATATTCTGGTTAATTTAAAGGATGTCAGAAGAGGCAGTTTTTCATCCTCATTTGCTTTAACGTCTTTTCATCTTTATAATAACTGGAGTTCATCACTTTTTTTGTTGCTTGAATGTCTTTTCATGAATGTGTAGCCCTGTATTTCTGAATCTGAAACAATTAAAAAATAATTCTTCCTTTTTTGGGGCTGGGGATTTAGCTCAGCGGCATAAGCACCTGCCTTGCAAGCAGGCAGTCGTGAGTTTGATCCCCAGTACTGACAAAAAAAAAAAAAAATCTTCCTTTTTTAAATTATACTTTTCCTGGCAGAATTATTGAGAAACATATAACACAAAAATACAAACATGTGCCCGGGATATAGCTCAGTACACAAGCGCCTGCGCTGCAAACACAAAGTCCTGTGTCCATTTTTGGTACTGGGTATTGAACTCACAACCTCTTACTTGCCAGGGCAAGCGCTTACATTGTTAAGCTACACCCCTGCCCCTGGGTCCTGTGTTTGATTTCTGGTACAAAAAACAAAACAAAACAAATACAAATATGCAAAAGTGGCATGATTGTTTTACAACTGGAATCTTTGCCTCACTAAATTACTTAGCTGAACTTTCTTTTAAAAGGGATATCTCCTACTGTTCTCTGTTAAAATAACTTGCCACAAAGTGTAAGCCAAAGAGAAATTCTAGGTTACTTCTTATTAGTAGGGTTACCAGATAAAATACAGACTGCCTCGTGGAGTTTGTATTTTAGATATACAGCAAATACTTTTAAAAATACGGATGTATGTATAGAATTTTGCATCTACACGAGACAAATGGCTTATTCTCTGTGTGAAATTAAATTTTAACTAGGTGGTTTGTATTTTAATTTGCTGACTTGGTTAACCCAACCAGGGTAAGAGAATATCTGAAAGTATTTATAAAACATTTTATCACAGTGTTAACTCGTACCAGTGTTTTGGGTACCACAGCTCTGTTTTGCTGGGCCGCGGTGACCCGTGTTAGAGGATACACACAGTCCTTTGTGAGGGTGGGAGGCAAAGGTTTTGTTCATTCGCATTAGAAAGAAAGCAGGATGTGAGAGTCCACACTCAGGGCTCTACAGAGCTCAGCCTTAGAGGCTGCACCTGGGTAGCTGGGAGGTACTGTTTTCTCTTTTCTTTCCCATTGTTCCAAATTTCCTAATTCCCAATCACTTTTTCTTTTCTTTTGTTTTTCTTCTTCTTGTCTTGTTTAGATTTGGGAGTTATTACGGAGCATTAGCTAATATATTTGGTATTATATTTAAAGTAAATTTCAAACTCTATGCCATGAATTAGAGAGCTTCACATCTATCCATCCAGATGTACCACACCTCTCCTTGCCCCAAACACTCATGCAAACTCTTAAGATAACATATACATGCCAGGCGTGGTGGCACACACCTGTAATGCTAGCACTCGGAAGGCTGAGGCAGGAAGATCACTGAGATTTTGAGACTCTTTCTCAAAACAAAACATATACATTATGTGAGTTGTATCTGATCTGAGTTGAGAGCAACATAAAGTGAAAAACTGAAGCAGAGAGGAAGTAGGTTGTTACAGTGAAACAGAAGGGGATCTAAATCCTGAAGGTCTTGGTCATGTTACCAAGTTCTGGTTGTTAACACGTAACGCTGCAGGTAAATGATGTGGCTGGGGAAGGAGACTGGGTCTCATTAAGTGTTTGCTGAATGGCAGTGATGGTTATTGCTGGTGAGGAGATAGGAGAGCAGCAAAGACAGAAGACTGACCAGAGAAGGAAACAAAGCAAAGAATGAGGGGAGAGGAGACAAATAAAACCAAGTGGAAATAATTACAAGCACAACTCCCAGTATGATGTTTCGCCTTCAAATTCTTCTCAAGTCTTGCTGTGATTAATGAAGTTGCAATGGGTGAAGCAATTTTTACAAGTTGCCAATGAATATGTGGTCAAAACAGGTGGGAGAAGGCCACCCTTCTTACCCCTGCATTTCTGGATTGAAAGTGAAAATTTAATATTTTTGAAATAACATCATTTGGGAGGCTGAGACAGGAGAATCACTGTGAGTTCAAAGCCAGCCAGCCTGGGCTACAAGGTGAGCTCAAGGCCAGGCAGAACTGAAACTCTCAAATAAATAAATAAAAGATTAACATTGGTTTGCCCATTTGTGTATGTGTGTGTGTGGGGGGGGTGGGTTGTCTACCAGGTGTTTATTTATTCACTGTATCTGATTAATTTGGCCAACTTTTTAAACTATTGATAATTTTTTTTTCACTTTGTAGATTGGGTCTCCTGCCTTCCAAGCCTCTTATGCAGCTGTTGCTTTGTTCCACGTACTTTTGACTGCAGAGAAAGCACGCACAAAGAAAAATCCATTCCTAACAAGCGATTAGTAAGCATACAACTTATTGTGTGGGTTTTGTTTTGTTTTTTTTTGCAGTACCAGGGATTGAACTCATGACCTTGGGCTTGCCAGGCAGGCTCTTATGCCACAGAGCTAAACCCCCAGCCCAGACATACAATTTAAAGGCTTCCACATTTGAAAATATTCTTTATAATTCTACTTAGGGAACGTCAAGGGCTGGGTGTGGTAGTATACACTGGCTATCCCAGCACTAGGTAGGCTGAGGCAGGAGGAACACTGTCAGTTTGAGATCAGCCAGGGCTATAAAGTTCAAGGCCAGCTTGAATTACACAGTGTGACTGTGTCTTAAGAAAACCCTCCTTTTACTGAGGAATGAACTTAAGGCCTTAACCCTGAGGGACAGGCACCTTCAGCCCCTTTTTCTTTTGCAATAGCGTTAGAGTTTTCTGGTGCAATAGAGAAACAATGTAAGAAAAAGTGAAAGTGGCCTTTTTATTTAAAGGATGTGGAGTGGGTCCACAACCTGCAAGGGTTTGGCTTTCTTCTCTGAGCAGATGGAGGTGTGTGTGTGTGGGATAGATCAGAAGTGGCGCTTGCTGCAGGCATTGATGATGGGTGAGGAGCTAATTGGAATTCTCTTCCTGTGCAAAGGGAAAGGAAGAAGTTGTGTGGAGAAAGAAGGAGGATGTGGCTGTCAGGGTAAGCATCCCGAATTTGGCCTTCCACCATGTTGAGCCACCACCATAATGTCCTGTACTTCATTCTAGGGCAAAACTCTTTCAAACAGCCTCTTCCAAATTGCTCTCACTGGGCTCAAATTTTTGGTGCACCTGCCTCAGCCTCCCAGATTGCTAGGATTACAGGCATGGGCCTCGGTGATCGGCTGTGTCTTTATATATACAAAGATGCCCTTTTTAAATTGGTATTGGGAATTGAACTCGGGGCCTCATGCTTGCCAAGGAGGCGTGTATCCCCCGCCCTCTTTTACCTCTGTTTGATAGAAAACCATAGACTTGGCTCTAAGTACACTTCCTGTACAGGCTTCCTTAGAGCCTTATAGATCAGGGTTCCCTTGGGATCAGACAGGGTTTGAGCCAAGTCAATGTTCCACTTTGTACCATGTGGGTTAACACAGTCTGGCACATAAAAGCTGGTGGTAATTGTGTCTGTAAGACCTGCAGTGTTGTCCATCAGGAACTGGCTGTGCACCAAGAACGATCCTGGGATTTCGAGGAGCACCCTACCCCCTACCCTCCTGGGCCAGTTTCACCTTGGGAACCTTATCCTGTCTCTGGGCTTCTGTGTGAATGACAGCCAGGAGGCTGATCTCTGAGAGGCCAGGGAGGTGTCTGGGCCTCGGCCTTCCCCTGGGGCCAGGCAGTGACCTTGTGATGACAGTGACAGACCATGGCCTCCACCCACGTCCCCACTTCGCCCATGGCACCTGCACCCAGACGGGTCCATTACCCGTGAATGAATCCAGCCGACTCCTTAGGGGGCTCTGCCATCCGCAGCCACTTGGACATCATGCAGTCCGAGTCAGCGGTGAGCACCCAGGACCGAGTTCTTCCCGTTACTTTCTTACCTAATCTTTATTTTTATTTTTGTTTAAAGAGAAAAACAAAACAAAACAAAACAGTAAAAGGCTGCAAGTAATACAGAATTTCAAGAGAAAAAATCTACAGTATTTCTTACCTAATCTTGGGGTCACGGAAAACGACACGGACTGAGATCTGAGGCCACTCCCATTGCTTTGGTCCTGACTTCACTCCTGAGAGAAGTCCTTGGCTGGAAGCCTCATTAGAAGCTACTCTCAGGCTGCGGGTGGTGCTGTACTGTGGGCCTGCGTTGCTCTCAGCCCTGATGGAGACCTATTTCCAGGGCACCTGATTTAGGGACACCTCGTTATGGGTCTCCTTTCGCATTAGGTTTTTTTTGGCAGATCTTGCAATGTAGCCCAGCTCCCAAGTGCTGGGATTACAGGTGTGCTCCACCACCCCCGGCTTGATTTGTCTTTTGAGACAGGCTTTTTGTAGCCCAGGCTGGTCTCAAATTCGGAGGAGGATCCATTCCAAATCTGCCGGTGGATGCTTGACAGCGTGGATCCTACTGAAACCCACGTACTGTACCTGTCCTCGAGGCTGGGTGCATCTCTTGCTGCAGTGGACGGCTTGAGAGCACTCATGTCAGGGGGCCCCTGCTGAACACTTGGCACTCTCTAGGGCAATACTGCCATCAGCTGAAGCCTGGGTTTTTCTCTGTCTTCCACCCACGCACACAGTACTTTCTCCATTTTTAAGCACTTGCCTCATATTGTAGCTGTAACTTTTTAAACAAAAATTTCTTCATTTTAATTCCTACAATCTTTATGGACATTTTAATGTCTTTCAACAATGTGTAGTTGTAACTTTTTTCAGCTTGAAGTACAACAGCAACATTAGCACGTTTCTTTCCTCTGCTTCACAATTTCATAGATACTAAATTCATTCTTCTCAATTTTAGCAAGATTGTTTTAGAAAGCTTTTACTGCAGTGTGGTGGTGCATGCCTGTAAATCTAGCACTCAGGAGGCTGTGGCAGGAGGATCACCACAAGTCTGAGGCCAGCCTGGATTACAAGTGAGTTCAAGGCAAACCTAAACTACATGGCAAGACCTTATCTCAACAAAACAAAACAAAACAAACAAAACAAAGCTCTACTCTTCCTTCCTTCCCTTCTTTCACTTTTCCTGCCATGCTGAGCCTCGAACTCAGGGCCTCACACATTTGATGGTCCCAGTTCTTTGAACATTCTGGGAATGACCCCTATCAGTGCCCGTAGTTGTAGACAAATCTGCCCTCAAATCCTGGCTGTCATTTGGGTGTTTCTGCTTGCCGCAGCAGTAGCAATAGGTAATCAGAAAACCCAATTTCTTCTTGGAAGGTCTCACTCACTGCCTGCCGTGCTGCCAGCCTGTCTGCGTGCTCTCTGCTGTCCCAACTCCTCTGTGTCGCTCTTTCTGGAGAATCCTGAGTGATTCTCTAGAGTCACTCCTATCCTGCCTCACCAAATGTGCATATTTACACACTCATTTTTTTTTTTTTTTTTTTTAGTATTGGGAATTGATTTTCAGGGGAGCTACGTGCTCAACATTTTTATAATTTTAATGTTTAAAACTTTGAGCTGTAGTTTCACTCTGTTACCCAGGCTGCCCTGCAGCTGGTGATCCTTCAGCCTGTGCCAAGATTACAAACGTGACACCACATGCTGATCTAATGCTGTTTTTTAATTGTTACTTATATTTTGTTTTTAAACTTTATTTTTGAAAACAGTTTTAGGTTAACAGTAAAATTAAGCAGAAATAATAGTTTTTTCATTAGTATTTTTAAGGTCCATCTATATCATTCTCTCTGAAATCTTTCTAGATGTAAATTAAAACTGCTAAGATTTCCTAGCTTTTTCTTTAAAAATTTAATAATATTTTAATTTTCCAATCTATTTTGGGGGGAAGGTGAGAAAGGGTCTTGCTGTGTTGTCAAGGCTGGCCTTGGACTTGGCGTAGTGCAGAGTGGCCTTGATCTTGAAGTGAGCCTCCTGCCTCAGCCTCCTGAGTGCTGAGATGATAGGTATGTGCCATTCCACCTGGCCCAGTCATACTTATTTTTTCTTTACTTTTCCTTTCTTTGCTTCTTCCTCTTTTTTTTCTTTGTGAGTGTTACTGAGGATTGAACCTAGAATCTTTATTCTAGGTTCAATTCTAGGCTACCTCTCCAGTCTTTTTTACAAATTTGTTTTGCCTTGCCTGGGGTTGAACTTGTGATCCTTTTGCCTCAGCTTCCCAGACTACTAGGATTAAAAGTAGTTACGACCATGTCTGGATCTATTTTCTTTTTTCTTACACTATAAATTTGTTAAGGACATGACAGTGTCTAATTCATCTTCGCATCTCCTAATTACCATGTTGTTTCCATCACTGGAGTGGCATTTTGGATTATGGATATCTCACACTGTGTGGCTTTTTAGGTTTAATGTCTGCTTTTCTTATTAAACTGAGAAATCTGAGATCATAGATATTTTTGGTTTTATGTAGCCCAGTGGTTTGAGCAATGTTAAAAGCTTGCTTTATCAGTTTGAAAGGAAGCTGTTCGATCTGTGTTAAAATTTCAATTAAAAGGCTGTGTGTGGTGGCACACACCTGTGATCTGTGTACTCTGAAGGCTGAGGCAGGAGGATTGCTGTGAATTTGAGGCCAGCCTGGGCTACACAATAAGTTGAAGGCCAAGTTGAACTATATAGCAAGAACCTGTTTCAAAAATATTTGTTTTCTAATTAAAAGTTTTAAGTAGTAATCATATGCAATTGAATATCCCAGAAAGGAGGGAAAATATGTTTAATATTCTTTTTTTTTCTTTTCTTTTCTTTTCTCTTTTTCTTCTTCTTCTTCTTTTTTTTTTTTTTTTTGAAATAGCATCTTGATCCATAATTCTGGCCAGCCTTGAACTCACCATGTAGCCCTTTCTGGCCTCGTTCTCTAGGTAATCCACCTGTCTCAGCCTCCCGAATGCTGTGATTGCAGGCTTGTACCATCATGACATTAGATGCATATTTTTGTCACTCAGTGTTTCCTGAAATTAAGTAACCTTAGCATATGACTGTAGATGGAAAAAGATTTCTAACTCTTTAAAATTGTAACTTCTGTGACAGTAGCAATATGTCAAGGAAAAAGTTTGAGTCAAAATACAACTTTAAAGGTCTCTTTTTCTCAGAACATTTGACATTTAAAACTCATTATCCTTTGCCACTTGAGTTTCAGTTTGACCTCAAGGATGTAAAAAGCACGACATTCAGAGGGCAAAGGAGAAGCACAGGAAGTAGAAATGAATGAGAACGAAGACCAGAGATGATGTCAGATTCAGCCAGAGCAGGAGAGAAGCTGTGGATGGGAGACTTGGAGAGACTGTGGGGAGGCTGCGCCGCAAGGGGGGGGGAGGGGGAGGGGGAAAGGAGGAGGGGGAATAGGGGAGGGGGGAGGGGGAGGGAGGAGGGGGAGGACAGGCCAGGAACACGGAAGACACCAGAGAGCAGGACTAGGCTGGGCAGGGGGAGATTTCCCTTCGCCCAGGGTGGCACCCGGATCTTGGATATTTTTTTGTTGGTAATGGGGATTGAACTCACAGCTGTGGGCTTGCCAGGCAGGCACTTATGCAGCTGAGCTAAATCCCTAGCCTCAGATCTTTGAATTTTTTTTTTTTTCTCGGTACCGAATTTTTTGTGGGGGGTCGAACTCAGGACCTTGTGCTTGCCAGGCAGGCGCTTATGCCACTGAGCTAAATCCCTGGCCTGAGATCTTTAAAATTTTAAATCGCACAAAAACTAACATATCAGAAATGAAAAAATAAAAGTAAAATTCCTCCCCAAGCCATTTTAAAATTTTCTTTCATGTTATTTTAAAGAAAAGAAAAAAACCCACAAAAATCAAGAAGCAAACAAACCTAAAAACAACAAAAGCATAATGACAACAGCAAAACAAAAACAAAAACAAAACAGTACCTATATAGCTTTTCAAAATAAAATGATAATGTAATGATGGTTGTTATACTGTATATTGTTATCTTTAAAATAGTTGCTCAGGTTACCAGATACAGGAATAAAATAAAACGTTAAAATGGAACAGAATATTGGATTTCAAAATCAAGACAGAAGGAAACCCCCACAGTTGCCACAGTGTACACCGCCATCCTTCAAATAGATGCCCAGATTAC